TGTGGGAGTTAAAGGGTTAAATGTTGGCCTGTATAAACAAGAACAAGGCTAGACCACAATACCAGGAGCTATGTTTGCTACTTTTTGCAAGAATTGAGTGGGTTCTTTAACATCCCCTGCTGACACATGCAGAGAAGATGCAGGAGATGGAGCTTATTGTTTATCATCCTCTCTAACCTTATTTCAAAACCATTTGCAGATGCCACATGAAGGCAGCACATTCTCCTCAGTTATTTTAAGACCCTGAGTTTTAGTAATGTCTGGGCTTGAACCCCTACCATTCTGCAGGCAGTACTGCATTCTACAACACGAGCTAACCAAGTGTGACAACAAAAATGTAAATCCTGCATCACCTTCAAAAACTCCTTGATACACTGGTTCAGTGATGAGTGGCCTTGTATGTTAAGGTCCAGTTCATAAAAACGAGAAAGCCTCTTGGATTTATTCCCACACCTCAGACATCTAAAAGATCAAGTTTTCATCAGCAGCAAAGAACTTTCAGAATTTTCATGCTAAGATCTTGGGAAAGAATGGGTTAATATTCAGAATGTGTTTCTCTTACTCTGTAACATAGAAGTACTCCCCTCCAAACTGAGACTGAACAATATTCTGCACCTCAGGCTCAGCCTACAAAAAAAAAAAAAGGAGTGTAATGATGCAGAACAATAAGCTGTGTCTTTTTCATTCTATGGTATGAGTAGGTTAGTAAGTAAGTGCACTGGACTCCAATTCAAGAGGTCTGGGTTCAAGAACTGGCAGGGGGTCATTGTGTTCTGTTCTTTAGCAAAACACTTGACTTCCACAGTTTCTCTTACTACCCAGGAATATAAATGGGTACTGGCTATTGTCATGAAAACCTGATGAAAACCTACTCAATTACAAGTTTACCCCTGGGGGGTCAACTTGTGATTGAGTGGTATCCCATCCAGGCGGGAGATGTCTACAATACTCCTTGACACTATGGAAATCAGAATAAACTCCAGGCAGATGACCCACTTGGTTCAAGTAGAGATTTAATTTTTTTCTGTGGTTCAAAGTGTAAAATATGGTCACACCTCTGTACAAGAGCCATCTGAACAACAGAGGAAGTTGTCCATCTTAGAGAGGTGACCACAAGAGCAAGCTTGACTGTAATAATTTCTGTCAAAACAATAAAATCTCAGTAAACCAACCTGCTTTGAGAAAGTTTCTTCAAGTAATGAGGTGAATAGTTTGCTAAATTCTTGAGCATCCTAGAACATAAAACAAATTTCTAAGCAACTTACCAAAACTAGAAAAAAAAAAGGAAAATGACAATACCTAAAACATTAATTTTCAACAACGTTATGTTGCACTATTAATCCTAAACCACTAAGAGCGACTAACATCTAATTCTCCTTACAGAATCACCACTGATTCAAATATTGGGGTCCTGAGAATAATGGAAATGATGGCTAACTAAATAAGCTCTTGATTGTTTGACAGATTTTCATTGTTGATAATACCACAGGAAATGTGTAAAATTGTGGACAATTTGAACTAAGAAATTTTCACTTGTTCAAGGGCACCAAAAATTAATTCATGTTAAAATACCTGCTGTTGTGCAGTGTCAAGTCCTAAACTGTCTACAAAAGGACTTGGATCAATGTACCTACAAAAATAATTAAAGTTTTCTTCAATTTTCCACAGCCACTGTCATTTCTGAAATTTTACATGGTTACCAAAGTTACTTCTTAACAAGCAACCAATCAGTTTTTGATGTTTGGGTTTATTCAGTGAAACAAAAGGTTTCTTTTTCCTTTCACCCCTCCCCCCCTCCCAGAAAAAATTCTCAAATACAGGCCCCACCAAAAACACTTCTAGACAATGTTTTTCTATAAATTTGAAGACTACATACAAAAATTCAAGCAATTAATAATACTTTCCATTTAGCATGGTTTTCTACCAAGCTATTAGCTGACAAATATCTAGAAATTTGGAAAAACCCCATCTCACCCAAGTTTAGTCCATGAGTGACCATGACAGAATATCTCCTTGCAATATTGATACAATATTATAAGCAGACAAGTGATGAAAACAAAGAAAATCATCAATTTCAGGATTATCCGTTAATCCAATACCAAATTCTCCAAACCAACATCATAAAAATTGTAGGGCACACAGTGGGGAGAGTTATTGATGAGATCTTGGAGTGAAAGTGTTAATAAATAACAGCCTAAACTTTATACTGTACCTTCGAAAACTGTACTGCAACTGAGCAAACAGCAACTGAAGGTGTCCACAAACAGTCGTTGGTGCTTCATCTGAGTTCAGTATAGTAGTAGAGGGAAGCAACGGAACCTGCTCGACAGCTGACACCTTACTGGGAGTTGTTGGCACATTTAGAGGTTTATCCAGGGATCCCCCATTCTCACTACTGTGATGGTTCAATTTAGAAGAATCTTTGGCAGGTTTATTTGAGGTTTCACCATTATGACTGCTATGATTAGTCACCTCAGAGTGATTTGGGCTGCTTGATAAAGCTTCTGATGTTGACAAGCCATTTACAGCTGACAATTTGGAAAGAATAGCAGGTAACCATTAAGAATGAGCAGGTATATAAAGATGTGGAAGACATGGTTGTCCAACAAAAAGGGTGTTGAACTCTGGGTCAAGGAATCCTAGAATGAGATCTGACTGTGTCATTATGATTTGTTCTTAGACAAGACACTTTACTTTCCCAGTGCCTCTCACAGCTCAACATTATTTATAACTGAGTACTGATGACCTATCAGGGAGACCAGGGGTGAGTAGCATTATTCTGAGGAACCAGGATAGAGTAGGACTGGATACACCAATTGACTTGAGAAGGCAAAGCCTGTACTCGATCCCTGTGGCCCACCCAGCCTGAGCTTAGCCCGGTTTGAAGCAACTAGGAGTATCACTGGATGGGATGCTAATCTTTTGAAAGGTTACCCCCAGCATTTCATCAGGCTTCCCTGACAATTTCCCCATACTCATTTACAGTCCTGGGCAGAGAGAAGCACCATTACAGTAAAGTGTTTTTCCAAGAACACAACACTTTGACCTGTCTCAAACCCAGACCTCTTGACCTGGAGTCCAGTTACCTTGAGAACAGGCTGTTTATCTTTCACTTGTAGAAACATACTAAGGAAAAATTTTGTAAATGGGCTGAAGTCTGATCCCTCACAGGAAACTCAGAATTTTTGTTACCCCATGCTCACTCCATAGGAGAAAATGCAGCATTCTGGTTATTACACAGGACTAAGGAAAAGAGTTGGCCACTCAGGACCTGGTCTGGTCATTCTGTTGTGTTCTTGGGCAAGACACTAAATCCTCACAGTGTCTCTCACTGGTGAATTTTTAGGGAAGCCTGATGAACTGGTAAGGGGTAAGCTTTGTGATGAATAAAGGGGTAAATTTCTAAAGAAACTGGTGCTGCATTGGTTGGGGTGTATAACAGGGTAATTTAGTATTATCAAATGAGTTTATAACATAAACTGGCCACCATAAAGAGTTTTGAAGCTGACAACGAGCTAATGCTTGAAATGTCATTGTGAAACTCTTTATGGTGGCCAAGTTACATTTTCAATCTTTGCACTGGACTGGCCTCCTATCCAGGGAAGAGTAGCAATACATCTAGTCACTTCCTTCCTCCTGAGGAAACCAGGATAATTTCTAGCTGGATGGGCCACTTGGCTTGAGCACAGACTCTGCTTGTTCTAAATGTTAAACATAATTTTCTAATTACAATAATTCTCACCGCTTTTGACCTCTTGTTCTGGTCTTCTGCTTGTAGGAGAGATGTACTTGTACATAGCTGAACGAAACACTGGATTATGAAACCAAACCTGTGGTAGAAACAAATAGCTCTCAAGCAAAATGATGGTCTACTTTTTTTCATGTCAGCTGTGAATTGTCTCACCTGTAAAAATGTATTCACATAACATGTAGCTCCAAGGTTCTTAAGCCCAACAAAAGCATTCTGAAAAGCCAAATGTGAGAAAATGAAAAATTAAATGAAGAGACAGATTGGTGCATAAGACAGCCAAATTAGAACAAGTGTTATATTCTGGTTTATTTCATAATATATTTTTAATATGACAAAAGACAAGTAAATTCTAAAATTTAGATACTGTATTGATTCAAAGAGGTAGTTATTACCTAATGAACCTTAGGAATGAGTGCTTACTTGAGATGAGCACTAAATTTTCACCATTTTCAGCAAGTTAAAAGTTCATTTTGCCACAAAACAATAAATAACAACAAAATATGAAGATATACCATAGACTGTGAATTTAGAGGTTTTAACCCAGTAAACTTAAGAAATAATTTCCAATATTCCTCTTGTGCACTTCCATTTTTAGGGGGGAGGGGAGGGTTGGTGCTTATACCTTGAACTCCCACAATCTCATTAGCAATTCTCCTTACTGTCTACCATACAATTCATATGAATTTAGTTTAGAGAATTTGGAATTAGATCAACCAATGATTCCCTAACTGATATTTCATTACTTGTCTGCTTGATATCTGACTCATATGGTAAGGAGAAGAGATCATGATCATCTCGTACCTCTGGGCGTCTCTCATTTTCTGGGTCTTCACAATTTAACCAGTAACTGTCTGAAAAGAATAAATACAAACTGAGAGTTGCTCTTATGAAATACAAATTTGCAGTCTCCTGTAAATACAGTTTGTTGCATAATTTACTTATTAAATATCTATCATTAAATATTCTTAATTATTAATACCTTTAATTTCGCTGAGCCAAAATCTTTCTCCAAGGCAATTAAAACAGTTTGGATTTGCTTTGCAGTTCCTCCTATGAAATACACAAATCATTTTATGTTAACAGCCTTGATACAGCTTTTTCCAAATGCAATTTACAAATGATATCTTGAAGGTTTTCTACAGGCTGGTAGGCAACTGTGCATTGCAAAAGGAAGTTTGGATCATATGTACTTAAGGCATCTGTTAGTTGAGTATCAGTCAGTATTAACAGTCGAGTGTTTATGGATATATTGGCCATTACTCAGTTCAGACTTCAGCTGATAGTCAGCTGACATGTCAAACAACATCAGTCACCTCTCAAGCAACATGCATGTCAGAAGATACTCTTTCAACAAGCTAGTGATACTTTATTAACACTTGGTGGACCCTATCTTCTCCATTCACACAGTAACTTACATTCTCTAGCCTTTGCAAGACAATGTCCATTCTTGACCTTTCATGCCAGCCAGCCATATTCATCAATGTCAAAGACTGTTTTTTCAGTTTAAGTTTTCTTTCTTGTTTTAAACTTAAATATTCGAAATGAAAGCAGTTTAAGCTGTATCCCCCTCTGTCATATATGAGCATAGGTGATAGAGACTCCTCTTTCTCCTCCCCAGTAGGTAAGGGAAAAGGGCTAGGAGACTGTTGTCATCCCAGCAAAACTATGGTTAAAAATACTTATCTACCACCAACAATCCACCGATACACCACTGACACTTGACTGATATGCTGCCAACTGTTGATCGCAATGTAACAGTCAAGGTGTCAGCCGAGTGTTGACCAACATACCAACCAACTATCCACCAATAGTGGCAACTGATGGTTTTCCAACTTGAATAACAAGGTGACCGACATTTGGTAGACTCTCAACCAATATGTGAACCAATAGCATTTACCAGCAGATGCCCTAAGTACACATGATCTGTAAGTTTAGTCTACCTTTGGATAAAGTAAGTTGGGATGGATTACCAAGAATCTGTGACACTTCAGTCGATTGTGAAAAACCTTGAGATTCAGGCTAAGTGAAATAGATTTGAGTTTTAAGTATGTGTATCTTGTGCCTACAATCCCCCATTCATATAGTTGAGGCATTTGACATTTCTTTTAATTTTATGTTGTTTCTTGTCCCAGAGATGGCTAACAATGGCTTCTAGAAGTATTGTCCAAGCTGATGTCTAACACAGAAGCAGAGTATACAATTTTCGAAATTCCCAAGCTCTTATCAATAAAGGACCAATCCAGTTTTCAAAATACTACTGTCTTCCAGTTGTTGTCATCATGATTGGAAGGTTGCTAACAGTTAATTAAGATTGTTAGTGTCTCAAATAGAAATTAGCACTAATATCAGTAGTTGTAATACATAGCCGCAATATTGTAAAAACAGAGTACTGACCTTAAAGAGGTATACGACATTAAATAGAAATTGATCATAATGATTGTTCTCGGCTTCCGTTTAATTTATTTCTCAAAACAAAGAAAAAATTGTGCACAGCGCTTTCGTTAATTTGAAACGGTGATCTTTGGGTTTCAATCAAAGTAAGGGTCGTACCTTTCGGATTCGTCAACAATATCGAACGTCCCTTTTTGATTCACAAAGTTAAATATCTCCATGTTAATTTCAAATTCAGACTCAGTTCAAATGGATTTCCATCGATAAAAGCAAATAAAAGCCAGCTTCTCACCTGCAATTTCCCGGAGAACAGGCGGCAGTATTTATTCTATAGGCGCTTTCAACGTTATCACTGATGACATTTTCTGGTTCAGTGTAATCAGCCCATTCCCATGCTTGCTTCAGAACAGTTCCCTGTTGTTTCCGATTTGTTGTTCGACGCGCCATCTTGGATATAATTTTCTTATTCCCGCGCTATGCGCACGCATCGGCAGGCAGGCAGCTGGATTTTCGCAGGCTCAGGTACTTTGTGAGACCGGTTACTATTTACCACTTTTGCCTTTTCCCGAGTTTTCCAGAGTATTGCTGCATACAAAGCTGACTCTGAAACAGGGACCTCGATAATTTATCCTCTCTGAATTTTTCTTCGAGCATCGGAGACTTGAGTTTCTAATTGCCCCGAACTTGTGAGGGGGCAGGGAACCATCAACGCACGCTAGTTTCCCCTCACTGATAGATGAGGACACAAACTGGACATGAAAAATTGCTAAAGTTAGCTTGAAGTACAGATTTTCATTTAGCGTGCATCAAGCGCGAGTCGGGCGCAAGTGGCGAGACACGCGCGTGTCTCGCAGAAAATGACACTTGTTCTGAATGCCAATAAAGAATATTCAAAGCATCATTCAAAATTCACGACCTAATTCAATGCGCATTAAAATTTCTTACAGTGTCTTCCGACAAAGAGACTCATGAAAAGGTTTGTTTTAACGCGTTTCGTGCGCGAACTTAAAAGGCAATCTCTTTAGGAGTGTGTGACAAATCGTGACATTGCTCGAAAGAGCGTGACGTAATTAGAATGCGGACAAAATGTGACCTGACGCGTGTAATTGTTTTGGCTGTATCTTACCGGAACAACACGTTCAAGAACTGTCGACATTAATTGACAGAGACTTAATTTTATGTGACAATCAATTTGGCAAACGATACGCTGGGAAGTAGAATTGAAGAGAGATGCAAGATGTCGCTAAACGCGGGCAGCTATCGAGTGAGCGATTTAAGTCGAGGAATGACTCTGAGAAATGCCAGCGAGAATCGAAGACTGGCAGGACATCTTCAACATCTCGATCTTCAGCTACAACAGAATCTTGTAAATATGCAGGCCGAGATTTTGGACTTAAAGCAATCACGTAAAGGAATGTTACCCGCCAGACATCAGCGACCGAAAGGATCTTTTGGGAGAACGGTAGGCGATCCTAGACAAAGTAAAAGCCGTCAAGATCGTTCGGGACCTCGAATGGTTTCGCCTCTCACGATACAGGGCAGTAGTAAAGAATTTTCAAAACCATTTTTGCCTCAAATCAGCACGAAAAACACAGCTTTGGTTGTCAAACGGGATTTCGGTATCGAAACCAGACCGAACTCATCGAGTAGTGCTGCAGGCTCCCGGCGTACGCGGGGGCTATCATCTGATAATGACTTATCATCAAGTAATCTATACAGACCAAAATCATCACCAAATTTAGTCGCAAAATTAGAACGCAGCAAAGCCACAAGCCAGCCACGTCCTGATTTAGGTAGAGGAATTAACGTTCGGCCTCTTGAAAATTCAGATGAAAAGTTGGTGACTCGAAGTTCTGATGAATTTTCAACCACATCATTGGAGCTTAATGATCGTGTAAGTGATTTCTTAAAGAGACCTAATACGAGATCGGGCGAGCGAGGAAAACGGGAAGAAAATGAACCAAAAAAGGAGGGAAGTGACGCAATTCCAACGATTAATATCGAAGATCAAAGTGAACCTTGCGACTGGGAACTCGAAGCAAACTCCGAAGAAGAAAATCAAGGCGCACATGAACACGATCATGGATTTTTGTCAGACGAAGAACTATTCAGAAACTCGTTACTCTTAAGAGCTGATCGAGATGACGGTCTTACGCGATCAATGCCAGATTTATCCAGTCTTGGATTCATGGATTTCAACGAGGTTATTGATCAACGCTTGCGAAAGCTGCAAGAAGAATTACCATCGAAGGAAGAAATGCGGAAGATACGCTATCTGAGATTTCGAGATGAGCCAACTCCGCCACCTCTTTTGTCAGTTTTTAACAAAGGTAGTGTCGGGGAAATGGATAAAATTGATGAGTAGAAATTGTGATTATGTAACAATTCGTTACGAAACATCCTTTACACATCGATGTTTCGTGGAGAACTGCGATAAACTTAATTGGATTTATGCAATATCGAGGCCCTCATAGAGGGTTATATGGTCTCATTCAATTTATTATTGCATGCTAAGACCCTGTTATTGTGTTTTGATAACCTGGCTTACCTGCCTACTTAGTGCGACACAATAAGAAACTTCGACGCCTTTGTAAAGTTCAAAGAGGCACATTGAAGATTATATCCTTCTGCATTTATCTCTAAATTTAACACACATATCTTTTGGGCACATGAAATGGTGCCGTAGATGAAAATCTTTTGTATTAGTTGAAAACCCACGCAGAAAATTAAATTGAATGGAAATTGTGCACTTTATAGAAAATTTTTTAATATTCTTTAGTCTCTAACTTTGTCCTTGACGACTATGGAATTATGAAAGTCTCGAAAACTAGGAATACCGAAAATTCCGTAGCACTTCAGACTTGACTCTAGGACTTCAGTCGCACGTATGTGTAGATTTCCTTCCAACTATATCGGAATTCTGTAGCATCTAATATCAATAAAGTTTTGAAAAGCTACTAAAATATTTGCGCATGCTTTCTCTCTACTTTAGAAAAGATATTCACGCAAGAGAGCTCTCTTTGTTTCAAGAAGGTTAATAAACAGTTAATTTTCTGTAATCAAGGCCTGTTATGTGAATGTCAATATGTCTGACACGAAGTCACTCGTGTGACGTCAGAGAAGGGTCAATGAGGTTAGCGTTGCAGAGTTCCGGTGAAACGCTTCAGTGCACGAATTGCGACATAAACTTCATGATATTGTGAAATCTTCTTCGTGCTTTGAATGCATCTATGATTTTATTTTTACTATTTTATTTTTCGTTTCTCGAGACCAGTTATCATTTATCGCCTGAGGGTTGTAGGATTTTGGTTGTGTCAACTTAAAAATTCACCTGATCGCCCCCCCTCCCCTTAGGCAGGCAATTATCCATAGTACCCCCTTAATACTTTGTTAGCGACGATTGATCCCCCCTTCGTTACCTTAAAATCATGTGACCCCTCCAAAAAAATTCCTCCACTCCCTCCCCCCACGGGTCAAATAATAATTGGTCCTTCCTAAAGAGGATTGGTTTACTTTCTTTTTTTCCTTCTTTTTTTATCATTTCTTTTCTTTTTTATCGAGCAAGAAGTTTCTGTTTTGAGGATAAGAGTTATTGGAAAGGTTACGCACAACTTTCGCGAAAAACGTCAAAAACAGAAATAATTCGCCGCATGTTTGAATCGCTTGTACGCTGAAATGAAAAAAAAAATTGGATACGTTGTGAACAAGAAAAATAAAATCCCTAAAGGGAGTTAGATCCTGAAGGTGGTATTCACACAGTCCAATATTTTTCTCTTTGCCGTTACGCTACAAAATCTTGACCAAACACTCTTCTTTATGGAACAATTTTAAATGGGGTGTCCTAAGTAATCCGGAATTGCTTTTGTCTCGTTCTACCATGTTTTGTGATTGGTCCTGAAAACTTGTGTCACTCTGTCGGCCAATAAAATGTAAAATTAAAACTAATCATGACTTCACGGTCGCCCGCGTTTTTAAGTACTTTGAGTTGTTTGGCCGGTTTTATATTTTATTCCTGTCGCCTCTTAAGATATTAATTCCTTCTGTTCTGATTGGCCATTGTGATTCCTTTGGCTTTGGTTTTACGACGCTCAATCAAAAAGCGCTCTACAACACACGAAAAAGTAAAAGCAACGCAGAAATTTGTCATAGGCAAACAGGAGAGCGCCAGAAGTAAAACACAGCACTGAAATATCCGGCATAGAAGGACCAATTGCATGGAAAAATAAAACTTTTAGATTGAGCAACAAATTCTGATTAATCGGATGAGTAATTGTGAGCGGTGCGCGCGAACGAGCAGACACGCGAGGAAGCCTTGTAAGGAATTAGTGTTAAGGGTGGCTCCTTTCCACGAGCTGATTCGGTCTCGTAAAAGTCCTACAACACGTATACATCATTGGTTTTTCTGCTTATCACCCTGTGAACCTGACCGTGTTTTAATTGGCAAGAGAAAAAGAGCGGCTACATTTGATCTCACATAGAATCTTCACGATAAAAAAAGACATGAAGAGCATTGGAGCATTTTCCAGATTTGTCAATAGAAATGAAAGGGCTTGGTACACGTTACTGTCCAACATTATGAACAGGCGATATGAATGCTAGATTTCAGATCTCTGTATTATGCTAACAGTTCTTGGACGCTGCTCGATTCCCGAGGGCACAGTCTTATATCGTACGTTTTCGTCATAGTTCTGTCGATTCCGTTTAGAATCGGACAATTTGGTTTATGATTTTGGATACTCTCCGATGAATAGAAGCCATGATAACATCTTTGAAGGGAAAAGTTGATTTAACTGTTTAAAAGACAATCCGACATCAGAAAATGGAAAGAAAAGCTGTTTAATTTCTTGAAGGATATGGCGCATAGAAGATGCCGAAAGTGCCAACCATACTCAGACGAATAAGGCCAGTTTCTTGAAGGAATTTTCTGAAAAGATAAAACGAGATAAACGTTAAGGTTATTTCCAAAAAGGGGAACAGAAAACTGTATCAACAGCGATCATCTCATGTCTGATATCGGACAGTTAATTTGTCCAGAGTTGGACACCTCCCTCCGATTACCAACACCTGCGTTCGCTCTCAGTCTCAGACACTATCGTTCAAGTTCGGACGCTATTGACCGACTTCGTATGCTTCCGGACGCTGTCGTCCTTGCTCGAACTCTTCCGTCCAATTTCAGGCGCTTTATTTTATTTTTTAAATGCTCTATCTCAACGCAATTGACAGTATAGCCTGTTTTCGGGATCTTCCGTGTGGTCGCTGACGCTTCGGAACGTGTGAAAAAGTCGATAAGTCCCAAGTACTCGTTGAAAAACTAGGCGTCTCTATGGGGTTTTTTAATTGGTTGATTAACCGTGAAGACTTCAGAACCAACCATAGAACGTTTTATAATGAGGTCAGAAAGAAAATTTACGTTTCTTGCGGTCAGTGGTAAACTCCATGAGAACAGCAAAAAGTTTGTGTTAACAAAACATGGCGGAGTTTCACGAGTGTCATGGAACTTTGGTATTTTTAAGCAATGGTAACCGCAGTGCTCGAAGACGAAGCTCCGCCGCAGAATTTAATAATGGTCTGATATTTAGTAAGAGCCCAATGAAGGACAATGAACGATTTGAGGTACGACTGGACCGTAAAATTGGAAACTGGTCAGGATCCTGGGCGATCGGCGTGACAGCCGGCGATCCCAGCGTTATGGAAATTCCATCGAGTTCAACGGGCCTAAAAAATGGCTCTTGGGTCATGTCTGGAATGTCTATTCTAAAGGACGGTTCTTCTTTTGTGGAAGAATATGGTCAAGACCTCGACGAGCTCAAAGAAGGAGACAGGATAGGTGTTGAAAGGACAGCCCATGGAAGTTTACATTTCTTTGTCAATGGAGTTGATTTGGGAGTTGCGGCTACAGATATTCCTCAAAATGTTTTTGCTGTTGTAGACTTGTACGGAAGATGTGTTGAGATATCAATTTACAAACCTTTCAATCGTGTATCTGGTAAGTGACTCCAGCCATGTAGAACTTACATAATACGTTTTTTCTATAGGTCTCATTAGGCATATCAAACCTTGCAATATTTAATTGTTTACTGATCTCAGATAGTCCTTCAGATGTTTACTTGGCCATAAAAAGATGTGTCTTCAATTGAACCCCTTAATATAGGTTTTCTTTCCTGTATCTTTTGTAGTAATGTTTCTAATTAAAGATTTAAATAGACTCTTGAGAGGAATCAACTGTTACCACACTATAACTATTTTATATATTGCTTTTTTGTTGTGGCAAGATTTTTGTGATCAACTGCTTCTTTCTTTAACAAAGAAAAAAACTTTTTGGTAAACGATAGAAATATGAATTTTATTCTATTGATGAGATACTCCAGTAGTAATCATATTTCTTACAAAAAAAGTAGCATCACCAGAATCATTTGACTGGTACAGTGTTGATATTGGCATAATTCAAATTCATGTAATATGTAAATGATTCAATCAGGTCATCACTTTCCCTTCAATATTGTATTACTTACCAATTAAAAAAATACCTTTAAAAACATCCTTAACTGTTTGCAATACTTTAACATAATAAGTATAAATGTAAGAAACATCACTGGAGTTAACCCTTTAACTCCCACGAGTGACCAAGACAGAACTTCTCCTCACAATATCAATACAGTATCATGCAGAAAAGTGATGAGAATAAATACAAATATCAACCAGGGAATTATTAGTTGATCCAATACCAAATTCTCCAAACTAACTTTACAAGAATTGTATAGCAGACAGTAAAGAGAATTACTATTGAGATCTTGGGAGTAAAAGGGTTAACTCTTTATAGTGTAATATCAGTTGGCATATTCTCCCTACTGTTCTCTATGCATTGTCTAAGGTGCTGACGAGAGGAATTTATGAAACAATCAAGAGCCTCTTTAACTGGTGACCATTTCTTTTATTCTTGTGACCTTGATGTTTGACTCAGGGGTGATATTGCAGAGAGAAATTAGATGCTGGTCACTGTTTGGGGTAAAAAGGTTAAGCAGACCCTTAGGGAGTATTATTTTCATATAAATAACTTGTTCTAAGTTTTCCCTATGGTAACAGTACATCATCCAATTGACCAACTTAGAAGAAGGCTGTCTACTGATATTACAATAACTTCTCTCTAAAATTTTAGAAGGTAGTGTATAGGTAGTAGTATGAAGAATCACAATTCACATCAGGGCTTCATTTAACTGAAATTTCTGTTAATACAGGTCCTTCAACAGCATCAGTTTGCTTTCACCCTCATTGTGGATCACTAATAAAACTCTCTAATAGTAACAGAACTGCAGAACGACAACGACCTACAGAAGAGTTTAAGAATGCTGTAACTCTGACGAATATACCACTACGAAATGATGAAGCATTTGAAGTAAGTGTGACACAAAATTTCATTTTTAAAGGTGATTTTTTTTCACTAATTCAATTATACTATCCTGCCATCAAGTAAATTTGATTTTTATCCCTAACAAAGAAATTGGGGTGAATGCATTGAAGCAACATTGTGTATTCAGGCCAAGAGGCTCACATAGCTAAGCTTATGCTGAGAACATTTGAACTCAAAGCATTAACATTGGTTGTGAGTGATAAACATGGAATAAATTTACTTGAGAAATAATTCTTAGTTTTATTTGTGAGGTTCTGCTTTAAGTGAACCTTCAATAGAGATGGAGATAATACAAACAGGCTGTTGGGACTCAGTCAAGGGCGACTATCACTGCTTAGCTCTTTATCCTCCCAACATCAGTATCGATATTCTCCATACTATTCACCATACATGTTCAATGGTGCTGATAAGGAGAATTTGTTTGATAATCAAGAGCTGCTTTAGTTGGTGATCATTTCCTCTATTCTCATTACCTTAATGTTTGATTCAAGGGTGATATTGTAAGGAGAAATTAGATGCTAGTCACTCTTAGGGGTTTAAGGGTTAATAGAGATGACCTCTCAATAGAGGTGAAAATTACAAGAATTAACGGGAAATTTCAGGACTTTGACAACTGATGGCTCAGCACCAGATGACTGTGTAATGTGGTGCTGCTTAATTAATACAAGTTCAAAGGTATTTCAAATTTTCTAGGTTCGGTTAGAGTGTGTCACTGATTTATGGGCAGGCTCAATAGAAGTTGGTGTCACAAGTCACAATCCAGATGATATTGTTTTGTTACCGACCATGACCAGCATGCCAACGGGGACTTGGATGCTGAGTGGAGCATCAATTATTGTTGATGGCAAGGAAGTGAAAAGAGACTACTCAAGTATCAATTTAGAAACACTACAGGTACTATGGTGAAATGGAGTAGGCTTTATTTTCCTAAAGGGGGGTAGTATAACTGCATTCGATTGTGTTGTACTCTTGAGAAGGACCATTGTTGGTAGTGGTGACTGATGTTTTGACAACCTGCATGGAAGTCATCTGAAGACTCTGATAATGACTTCTGCTCAGGATGTCAAAACAGTCACCACTACTGATGACATTCCTTCAAGACTACCCTGACCAAGACAATCAGACTACACAATCGAATATTACCCCCTGGTTTAAACCAATCACTGCAAAGCCTAGATTATTCAACAAGTAAAGATAAACAATTCAACAAAATTCAAATAAACATAGCAAAATAACCCAGCCAGGATTCAAATCCAGACAAATTGATGGAGAGTTCAGTACACAGATTTTCAGGGCACCTTGTCCTTCCAAAAATGTCTGAGGGTACAGAGCAATACTTCTCCCTCCCCAGGGTGTAAATAATTCATGGGGAACCCTGACCCTTTCACTCCTAAGATCTATATACTAACTCTCCTTTCTGTTTGCCACACAATTTCATATAATTCAAATTCTGAGAATTTGATATCCCCTAGATGATAGATCTAGTAAGGTGGGTCAATTGGCTTTTCGTCTTTTCAGTCTCTTTTTGGGAACTGACATATACCTTTCCCTTTTCTTTGACAACTTGTCCACTAATATTAATATTATGATTATGATCAAATTTATAAAAAAAAGTCTTTAATTTCTTCTTAGGCAGGAGACACAATTGGAATATTGAAAAAGAGTACAGGCTCTCTTCACTTCTTGATCAATGGACAAGACCAGGGTGAAGCAGCCAGCAATCTGCCTAGTAATGTTTATGGGGCTGTAGATATTTATGGAGCTGCAGTCAAAGTGTCTATTATATCAGCTCCTCATATAGAACAAGAGCAAGACTCTGGTCAGTTAATAAGTAAGTATTCAGATTTCTAAAAATATAACGCAGTTATTCACAGTGGTAAATAAACAAATGATCCTTTCAGGTGAACTGCAATTGACCC